TCATTATTTTAATGGTTCAATGATCGAAAACTGCATTTATTTTTATTTAATATATATGTACTTTAAATATTCCTATTAATATTGCAATAAAGCTACCATCAACTAATATAAAGCCCCGACCCAGCACCCCTGACCCTGGGACCATGAAATTCACAATTTTGGAAGAGTTTGTCATTTTCAACGTAACTATGCACTGTGTAGATTAGTTTATTTAATGCACAGGAGCAGAAAAGAAGAAATTCAAAGAAATACCGTAATGCATTTTCACTATATAATCTATATACATGTAGCCCCATCCTAGTACTAGAACCCCTGACCCTGGGGCCATGAAATTCACAATTTTGGTAGAGGAGACGATACTGATTACAATCATACCAACAGTTTGACTGCTTGATGTCCAGAAGTATTGGGCATCCAGGCCCCAGAGGGGGGAGGGCCGGGACCATGAAATTCACAATATTTGTTCCCCTTCACCCATATATAGATGCGATAGGTTCAGTGATTTCAGAGAAGAAGCTAAAAATGTTCAATGTTTACGAACGACGGACGAAAACGGATCGAGAGAAAAAGTAAAAATTGGTTTATTATTGAAAAGTTTAAATCCCAAAGTAGTGCCATGACCAAGCATGGCTTTTCTTGAGAAGATTTTTAAAGAATTTTCCTATATATTTCTATGTAAAACTTTGATCGGCCATTGTGGCCCCGCCCTAACCCCGGGGTTCATGATTTGAAGGAACTTGAATCTACACTACCTGAGGATGCTTTCCTTTAAGTTTCATCTTTCCTAATTTAGTGGTTATTGAGAAGAAGATTTTTAAAACATGCCACCAAATTTTTATTAATTCCCAGTTATCTCCCCTATAATGAGGGCGTGACCTTTCATTTGAACAAACTTGAATCGACATCAGAGACAAAATATTTGTTCAAACAACTCAAGAGTTATTAGAATAATATATTGTTTATTGATTTAAGATAGGTAGATTCGATGCGTACAGAATCGAAGACACTACAAGGATTTGAGAACACGTTATTTGATGAAAATGGAAATTTCTATTCATGACAAATTGTTATAAATCTAGTGCAACATATCGGACTGGAGTGTGCAGCCTCTGTACATACGAATTGTTTATATCGATGACGCCCGTAAATCATTGTATATTGTTTTGAATTTTAAAAATTAAATAAATTATAATCTGTAATTGAAGATTACTGCTAGCACTGCAGTGTGGCATAATAAAGAAAATGAAGCGTGTGTCCAAGGTCAAATTGGTGGTACCCAAAGAAAGGTCTTGTCACAAGGAATATACATGTGAAATATGAAAGTCATAGCTCCACTAAATCAAAAGTTATGGGCAAGGTAAAAGTTTTTGCAGACAGCTAGACAAACAGACAGCTAGATGGAGGCATTACTATCGCATAAGCTCTTCTGGTCTCTGACCAATAGAGCTGAAAGCAACACACAATTGCATAACTATATCCCCCAACTCTATTGCAGGGGAATATCTAACATGTTTAAAGCTGAACACAAGCAAGGGTGCAGGGGTATTTATCCCCTGAGATTTATTCCATACACCCTGAGGCCGAAAGGTTATTGGAATGTTACAACCCTGGGTAAATCACTGTACACCCTTGATTGAACCTGGATAACGAGTTTATTTCCTTTGTACTACCCATAAATTTTTTTTGGAAACACAAGTCTAATCAACTGTGTCTCAATCTAACGATAAGATAACTATGTACTACAATGTATCATGACGTCATGTGTTTTTGGTTTTAATCATGGAGAAAGTATGTATTGTGACGTCATGTTTTTTTTACCCCCCAGCTCAAGTCGGGTGCACAATAGCCTGGTTCCCTGCCCCTGTTATGCTTCATATACTCCGCGTCACTAGGGCCAGGTGGAGTACAATGGATTCAGGGCGAATTTTTCTAAGCTGTTGATGTAATGTGTCATTGTTACGTCAATATTTATTTCTATGGTTAACGGCAACTGCTCAATAACCCATGATTTAGCGTGCATTGTTCTGACCAATCAAAGGAAAGCATAGAATGAAATAAGCCTGGCTCACCTGCCCTGGCAAGGATGAGACAGGAGACCAGGTTAGGTGCACGGAAATTTACACCAGACTGTAACCAATCAAAGCTTGTGTTACAAGCTGCATAGGAAATAATCATAATATTTTTTGAAAATACTGACTTTGTCTGCCATGAATACTCTTGATATTAAATCTATACACACAGTGCTGTCCTCTTCACATAAAACAAACTCAGCAAACACAGATGAACTTTTTTATATTAAAATATGACGTATACACATTCAAAAGACCTAACACAACTTCCGGTATTTTTTTTTTATAATTTGCCATACACATATACACATAAAGAATTAAACCAGTCTACACCATACATTAATTGTTACCATAAGTCATCTGTTCATAGAGATAATACAAGCATTCGTAATCACAAACACTGATGATAGAAATAAATGATATCAAATTTA